CTCGTCATCCCTTACCATCGAACATCAGGCGCAGTTACGTTATAGTCAAGCGGAATCGCACAGCAACCCTCTGTTGAATGAGTCAGTAGACTACAAAGTCGAGCAAGTTCGCAAGCACACAGGACCGCGGCTCGCACTGTGATCAAAATCTAATCGTGCAATTCTATATCCAATCAAAATTACGATTTTTGCCACACACAAATTCCTTAATTAATTTTTGGATTAATTTAAATTAACCGAATACCAGCTAACAATCGCAAGGCATCCCTTTTACCGGCGCACTTCACCCTCTTTGCTCTTCCCCCTTCCTTCCCTTCTTTCTTCTTCCTTTCTTTCTCTCTGACTTCGTCTGGTATCTGGGCAACCAGATCTGACAGACCTACTGACCTACGATTCTTTAACAAAGAAGCGAAGGTCCCACGAACCGCTCTGACGGACAATGACGAATAGAAGAAGACCAAATAAATCAACTCTGTATTATTTTCGACGGATGACGCAGGTTTTAAGGATACCAAATAAATAGATGGCAGCACTACTTTTAAAAGTAATATGTTTTAACGACCATGTTCTGCTCTTGCCCGGAAACGCACTTGCCCCACCGAGTTCGACGGATAAAACCATGCTGATAACCTTCCTGGAGTAGCAATTAGTAAGTGAACACATTTTACGTCTCTCCTTATTGATTTTATGACCTGATGCGGACAGACTGGATAGACAATCACATATCTACATAGAGAAAAAGATACCGGACCAAAGAGCATTAGAGTTTGATAGGTAACAGATACATGTACCTTATCCGCCTAGCAGTACTAAAGATTGTATGACAGATAACCCCATAAGTATTTATTATAATCATTATACTTGACGTAAAACAAAACACCAAACAAATCTAAATCTATGTGATATCGCTAAGAAAACGAATGTCGAAATTTAGTAAATGCTCGGTGCAAATGCCCTCCCCTTTCTATTTCGGTCGAATCAGCGAATGAGCGTTCCCGCGCTAAAGACCGTATGTCAAAATCCATCAAACCGGTTGGACTGTCGCCCATGAATCACCTATTTCAGTTATTTCCCAGAATAATAAACATCTACTCTTTCCCCATTTATAACATTAGCAGGGATTTATGACTAATTCGTCGATTGCTTTATTTGTGACTGCATCTTGTTAACTCCTATAGAATAATGGGCAAGACAAGAAATGCACTTTCTATCTTAGAAAACATGCTTATTACTCACCTTGTATTTGTGTACAAAAGATCTATAATGTGCTCCCACACAGAAATGTATCGTCATTATCATTTATGATAGTGCTCATACATTTTCAGTTATAATTAAAAAAAACAAGGGAGGGTTGTTTCGAGTACAATTTGCTAATTACATTTCAGCGATACAGGGGTGTATCGGATAGATTCGGCGTAGGCAGTAACTTACTGCGGCATCAAATCGGCGCCTTAGGATAATTTATTAGGATAGGCAGAGTTGGAAAGCGAAAAAAATTGAAAAATCCATTTTTATAGGTTGTTAATACATTATTTTACTATTTTTGACAGCCATTAACTGATGAGTAATAAAAAAATATATTTTACACAAAAATGCAAAATTATACAAATACACTTAAGTATTTCATAAACAACATAAAATTTACAAAAAAGGCCAAATGTACAAAGTTAATACATCATTTTTTTTGAAAGCATTGTGCTTATATGCCCTAAACCATTAATGATCTCGTCATTTTCAATTAATAATAATAATAATAAATGGCCTTTATTCGTCACACGATTACAAAATAATTGGTTTAAAAGGAACAGTGACGAAAAGGTGGAGTGTCAGCTTATGCTGTTTTTCAACCCGACCTGGAAAACATTGACACAAACTATAGAGAGAGAGAGAAAAAAAAACTTAGAATATAACACTTATCAGAGAAAGGAAACAATCAATTACCTGTGGATATGCAGAAAGTAAAATGTTAGCCATCCGACTGCATTAAACTCATCTTTAACCTTTTTTTAAAATTGCTTAGGCTATATTCTTTATACTCACTTGATAAACAGTTATATAGTTTGGGTGCCCAGTACGAGAAACTGCGTGTGAACAATGCCGCGGGATAAGTAAGATGAGTTTATTCCTAGAGGATCTTTGATCGTACTGGTAGAGGAGGCTTAGTTTCGTATAAAGATAATAGGGCGCTTTAAGGATAAGGGTCTTATGAACCAGAGATAGGCAATGCAGTTTCCTCAATTTGTTCATCTTAAACCATCCCGATTGGTCAAAAGCGCTACTAATATGACCAAATTTACGGATTCCATAAGAAAATCTGATGCATGAGTTTTGTATCATCTGAATTCGCTCGGCATCACGTTGTAAAAGAGCAGGTCCATAAACAGAGTCACCGTAAGATAATTTTGACAGGATAAGGGACTCGCAGAGTTTAAGCTTGAGCTGTGTCGACAGGACACTTCGACTCGGGTATAACTGACAAAGCACATTATAGGACGCATTGCATAGTTGGTTAACATGTTTAGTGAAGCGTAGCTTGCAGTCAAACCAGATACCAAGGTTTTTGCATTCGTTTACGAAGGATATGTCTTCATTATTCACCATAATATTAATGCGATATTGATTTATTTCACGATTCTTTTTGGGCCCAAATAAAATGCAGCATGATTTTCCAGGATTTAGTTTTAGATTGTGAGCACTAGATATGTCAAAAATAGACTGCAGATCTTGATTGATTTGATGTTGGCCAAGCATATATTCATCAGGATCGAAGCAGTTATAAAGTTGGGTATCATCGGCGTAATGAAGAACGATTGAGTAGCTGGCGGTTTCATGAAAATCACATATATAAAGAGCAAATAAAAGGGGACTCAAAATAGATCCTTGAGGGACACCAAAATTTCTGAATAAAGAAGTTGATATATTGTTTTCATATATGACAGACTGTGAGCGATCAGTTAAAAAGCTCTTAATCAGTGTGCAAGCCGATGATGACAGGCCAAAGTATCTAAGCTTTTTACAGAGAATATTTGGGTCAACCGTATCGAAGGCCTTGCTAAAATCAAGAAGAACTAAGCAGGACAGCTTTCCTTGATCAGCCGCGCTATAAATATTATCCGATATAGACAGGAGCGCAGTGGTGGTGCTATGTAATGGTCTGAAGCCAGATTGGGAGGTGGTCAGTAAATTATTTTGACAAACAAATGTGTGCAGCTGCTCATGTAGAGCCATTTCCAAAAGCTTAGATAAACTTGGAAAATGCTTATAGGACGAAGATCAGAAAAACTTGAAGGATAATTAGATTTAGGCAGAGGGAGAACAAGAGCATTCTTCCAGGAAGAGGGATAAAGATTATTTGTTATACAAAAGTTAATAATGAAGGTAATATACTTGAGCAAATGCTTATGTATTATACGGATCATATCAATTGTGATGCCATCTGAGCCTTTAGCATGACTTTTGATGCGATTGATAAATTTCTCTACAGTGGCAGGGGAAACTGTCGTGAACAGAAAAGTACCACTATTCTTGACGTTTTCATATTTGTCTAAAAGGTTCAATTGAGTTAATGATTTGGTTGTTTGAGGTACATTTAAAAAAGCACTATTTAATGAATCGAGATCCTGAAGATGTGGAGGTAGACTTATGGAGTTATGTTTAACGATATTCAAAGATCTAAGTATATTCCATGTAGTCTTCGAATTTTTATGTCTCATAACATAATCGAGGTAGGCTTTTTTCTCTCGCCTAATAGCACCACAAACATAATTTCTGATTTTCTTATAGAATTCCCAGGCAGCAATCGTTCCTGTACGTTTAAATTTTTTATATGCGTCACTTTTTGTTCGCATCATGAGTTTTATGTTGAATGTTCGCCAAGGAGCTGGTGGCTTGGTAACTCGAATGTTTCTGACAGGAGCATGCCAGTTGAAGGTGCACAAGATATTAGAACTCAGGAAGTCAATCATTTGATCCACATCTCTCAACGTATATATAAAATCCTAGTTTATTAAAAGTAAATCATGGTAGAAATTGTCTAGGCTAAAGGTAGAGTAATCACGATATGTCCTCAGTTTACATAGGTTGCCTATCTCCGATGCATCTACATAAAATATTAGGGCTAGATGGTCAGATATTCCATCTACGTCAACAACTTCATAACCACTTATTATATCAGCAGAGCTAACCATGAGCAAGTCTATAGCTGTCTGGCTATTGGAACTTATACGTGTGGGCTCTTTCACTAACTGAGACAGATCAAAAGACTCAAGAAAACAGTTCAGCATCTCGGATCGGCCGTCGTTCACTAAAACATTAATATTAAAATCGCCCATGACAATTGCGTAATCATTATCGAGTGAAAGGTTGGTTAAAGACTCAGTTAATTGATGAAAACAGTCCAGCACGTTTGCCGATGGTGGACGGTAGACTATAGCTAGACAATATTGGCGTTGATTAACCTTTACAGAGATCCAAAGTTCTTCCAATACTGTGGTGATATTAGAGTGCAATATTTTGAAGGAAATACCATTTCTCACATAAAACGCGACGCCCCCGCCTTTGCTATTTCGATCTGCTCTAACGACATTGAAGTCGTTGATAAATACTGAGGAGGAATCAATATCTGGGGTTAGCCAAGTCTCACTGAGACCCAGGACATCGACAGCACAGTCAACAACATACTCCTTCAAAGTTAGAAAACCAGACTGAATTGACCTTACCTCGAAGCTCATGAATTTTAGACGTCTAGACATATTGAAAAGATCTGGCGAAGGCTTATTCTTAAAGAGCACCCAACGTATTTTGCAAGTAAAATGAGTATAACCACATGATAAATATGTTAGATCTATACAGAATAAAGACAATGCAACAAATATATGCAATACTAATAAACACACCCGGATAAACAGAACAGAATAATAAATCAATAAAACAAGGTATAGGAAGACTATGAGCGTTTGTGAATTCACGCAAAAAAAACACACAACACAAGCACACACAGTTCAGTTACTTTGAAGTACTGCGTAGTTTAGGCCCTTTGTGTGAAGACGTAGGAGTACTTTTAGATGGGCTGCTGCAACTAACTTGTTGACCCTGCTTGGTTCATATTGCGGTCTATTTTCCCCTCTTTTCGTATCTTGAGGGATCAGTTGTTCTTCGGTATTTTTATCCTGCTTAGAGATAACTGTCTCAATGATTACTTCATCCTGATGGTCGCCAATATCGTCATTCTGTAGCTTTTCCCAGGAAAATGCTTCGCCATTGACATAAAGAATATTGTTTTTAATAAACGCAGAATTAGATGATTCTCGGGCTTTCTTCAGGTGCTGATGAAGTAATTTTCTCTTGGCGTATTCTTCTGGAGTGTAATCGTTATCGACAAAAAGGCCAACACCTTTAGGAAGTTTTCTTGCCTTCTCCAAAACTTTTTGTTTTACGTTGTAATTAACGAATTCGACGACAAGTGGCCTAGCTCTATTACCAGAATCGGATAGCTTTTTGCCAACACGGAAACAGTCCCTTACGGCACTTGGGGAAGTTTGAAATTCTAATTTTCCTTCGATAGTGCTTAAAGTATCTTCCATAGGCCCCTTATCACTTTCCTTTACCCCATAGATGACTATGTTATATTTTTTCAGCTTATTCTCTAGATTAAGGATTTTGCTTTTCAATAATGAATTTTCCTTCTCGATATCTCTATACTTATTATTGATGTTGTTTATTTCTCTTTTGGCTTCATTAACAGTCTCGCTCAAGCTATTAATTTGTCCCTTGAGTTCTTGATTACCCTCCTTGATCAGCTTGTATATGACCTCGAGGGTTACTCCTGTTGAAACCATTATTCACGTGATCTCTACCAGTCTATCTGTATGGTAACCTTATCGTACGGTAGTGTGTTCTGTCGCCTAGGGACTGAGATATAAGTATATTTCGCTGGAACTGTTTCGATAGCTTCTTCAAAAATTTGGCAGACCGTGGGCGTGACTTATATAAGTGAGGAGTACCATATATGGATTATTCGTACACAAATTTGACCATGCAGAAAAAATAAATTGCGTTTACTCACATATGCTTTCGAATAACCGTGTAATTATTGTACTAATCCACTGAGGCCACTTAATCACATCATAGTGTCATGAAAGCAATAATTATCAATTCTATTTGAAATTTCTTTTTCGCAGTTCATTATCATGAATGCCTCCGACCGCGACTGTGATATTGTAGTAGTAGTCGCTTTTTAATATATTTAAGCTTAGAAAATGATCTTTCACAGGCTACGTGTGAGATTGGTAATGTAAGTAAGTATTTATAGGCTAAGGCAAGCGTGGGATATACTTCTTGGTACATATTGTACTTAAATATTATAAAATAACAACAAAAAGCACAATTTTTACAGCTTTTACACTGAGTACTGTTTTCCTCATTGCATCCTAGGACTTTCTCCGATTCTTCAGTTGCATCACCTCCCGTTTTAAAACCTAAGGAATACTGGTCCTAAATATTTAATTTTAATGAGTCCCAGTTTGATATAAAATTTTCCAATTCATTATGCAGACTGTCAACAGTTACATTTCAATTGAGTAATAAAAGTTTTTTGGAAATAGTCTTTAAACTATCTTTGGGGATATTTTCTTTTATATCACTAAAATTCTTAAGATCCAAGATACTAAAACCCTTACATATTTTTTTTGAAAGCGGTTTTTCATTGACCATACGATAGTATCAAAAATGACGTTAAATGTCTCTATTTTGTATGTCATTTTTATTCCCCGATCTTTCATCGGAAGACCCTTCTCCTGCCATTTTTTTAACTCGTCTTGTCCGTACTTTCTGGTAAATAGATTTCAATATTAATGACACTATTTTCTGGGTCAGTGTTGTCTATTTTAGGCCCGTATCGTCAGTCGTCCCTACAATTGTAGGGCGCCTTTATGGCCTCCTTGATTGTCATAGTTTTCTACTTCTCCCTGTCAGCGCTCTATTTTGAGGTTATCTCACAAACATCTATTTCCATCATCCTTGCTTTTGAGTTATATCATGTTTTATCACCCTGAAATTTCCTACAATTTAAAAAGAAAACATATCTTCACAATAGGAGAGCGCTGACGCTGATACGGGACAAGTGTAATCTAGAAATTTTTGAAGGAGAGAAAGGAGTATGACAATCAAGGAGGCCATAAACGCGCCCTAGGGACGACTGACGATACGGGCCTTATCTAGCGCCCACGTCACAAAACTATCGGTGGTTTTCTGAATGTCAGGAAAATCTCGTTGAAAATCTTTTAATTGTTTCAGGGCTGTTTCTGCCATGTTGTTGCATTTGATTGAATCTAACCTTTCTGTTTGCAAATATCTAGATAACGACCCTGTCATAGAAAAAATCTTCAGAAACACATTAGCAGTTAGAATAACCTCATACTATTGTAAAGATTCTAGGTAATTTTCAAAGTTCAATAAACAGTGCATTTGTTGAAGAGCCGTAGGTGTCAAATATTTTCGTGAGAGCTGATTCTTTTGCCCACCAACGCGTTTCACCAATGGTCTGTAATTTTCTCTTCTTTGCACTATCTATATTTATTTTATTCCAAACATCCATTCGTTGATATGATTCGTTAAAAAACACGGCTATTTTGTTTAGTAAACTAAATAAATATGACGCTTTAATACTAGGTTTCATAAGATCGCCAATAATCAAATTTCATATGTGGCTGTAACACCAAATATGCACATGTTCAATGTTTTCTTATTTAATTTAAATTATTTGCTTCTATTTCATTTATTATTAAATTGTGTATCCCGATTCCTGTAGAATCATGACAGTCGACAAATGAACGCAATCTCTCAAAAACATGTTCATGAAATACATATTTGATTACAAGAGATAATTGATCTGTAGTAGACACATCTTGACTTGTGTATATTTTTATAGAATACATTCCAGCTTCTCGAATTTCGTCTAAAATTATTTTTTCAGTTTTTTACAGATAATGTCAATTATATAGTTTTTCACAAAGCAGATGTAAAATCTCCAGGACGATTTTTTATTCCTTGATCATGTATTTCTTTGATTTGTGGAATTATTTTATTTAAGTGTTCCTTCATTATTACGTCGTACTTAGATATCAATAATATTATCTCTAGAAAATTTCCGTGATCTAGGCTCTCGTTGTCCAGTGAGTAACATGCTTCGTTTTCCTTTCCTCTATAACTTAAACCCCTCTTTCCAATCAGTTTTATTACATTTATCCTGAAACCTGCCTATTTCTTGTTATATTTTTTTGTTGCAAAGTCAGGTGACTTGTAGATAATAGTTTATTAATTGAAGTATTACTACAAAATCGAAAATATGCAGAGGAATAGCTTCCGTGAGTTACAGACACCAGATATGCATAATTGTAGAATTGCATTTCACATAGCTTGCACTTTTTACAGAGTTTATAAATACACCGTAATTTGCATTATATTCAGTTCTAGCGCTATTTCTCGGTCCGTTTCACATCAATTTTGTACGTTTTGAAAATAAAAGTTTTTTAAAAACTTATTTCGGAGTCGTACTTCCGTAAGTGGCGCAGTCGCAGTAGGATCTACATCGGGACGAGATTCGCCACGTTTCTATCGCAGATTACGGCGAGTACTCGGTTAGTTTTAACGTTTTACCTGACAAGGACATCAAACCAGGACACTCCAAGGAGTTCCTGAAGAAGAAGAAGCCGACCAAAATAGTTGGGACTCATCCAAAGCGGATCCATCGAGGAAACCACCAACGGGAGATCAAAGATAAGATTAGATTTAAGGCAAATCACCACATCACAGATGAGAATCATCTTGTGGCTATCCCAAGACTCATTTCCTTTCGTATTTTCCCCTTAGTTCCTATTACTTTTCTTATATTTACGACTAAAGCTAAAACGCTTGAAAATATAGTGTATGTCCGATAGTGAGGATCTTGAAACTTTAATTGAGAGAATTGCCAATTGGAATCTATACAGAGTGCCCGAAACAAGAGCGACTACTGCGTTAGAGACGTAAATATATCTCTGCTTAGATATCAGGCTGATAACATTCCACCTTTCGATGGAAATCCTAAACAATTACTTAGATTTATATCTTCTTGCGAAAATTTTCTAAGAGCTTTCCAAAATACAAATATTGTGAATAATCCAATCAATATTTGTTTGCTAGATAGCATTTTGAGCAAATTGAGGGATCGTGCTGCAGATTTAATTGGTTCGCGATCAGAATTAAATTCATGGGTAGCAATAAAAGATTCTCTTACTGTAACTTTTTCCGATCAAAGGAGTATTGATTGTCTCATTCAAGATTTAATATCAATAAGACCTTTGAGAAATGAAACACCTATGCAATTTGGAATGAGAATCCAGGATGCAAGGAGTTTGCTGTTTTCAAAATTGAATACTTCTATTGAAAATGCTATGGAAAAGTTGATCAAAATCAGACATTATGACGATTTTGCTTTGAAAACTTTTATTAGTGGCTTGCCATACCAAATGCAATTGGTTATCCGTTTGAGAAATCCCGATTCATTAGAACAAGCGTTGTCATTTTGCACAGAAGAAGAAAATTTCATTTACTTTAGTACTGAGCGCAACCAGAACCTCCAGAGTTCCTTATACAAACCTCAACCTAGACTCAATCTTCATTTTGTTGCTAATCAACCGAATACTAATCGTACTGTTACAAATGGTCCACAAGTAAGATATATTCAAACTTCATTTGTTCAAAGCTCTCAAAATTACCTGAAACCAATGATGAATACTTTCCCTGGAAATTATTCTCATTCAATAATAATTTTCTTCCTAGATCTCAGTTTTCTAATTACCCTTCCACTTCATATGCTCAAAATCAGACACAATTCCCGAGATTCAACCAGGCTAACACATCTGTTCAACGTCCACATTTCCAACAAAACTTCCAAAGGCCACCTTTCTCTACTAATAGACCTGCATATCCACAAATTACGGCAAGTAATAACAGTAATTTCACAACTAGGACAAGCTATCCGATTCCTATGGATACGAGTTCAATCCATTCGAAACCGAATGCAAACCCATCTACCCAACACTTATTTGCTCACTAAATTGAAAATGAACAATCACCTATCAATGAAAACCAGTGCAATCCACCATATGAGCAATATGACTATCCTAATTATGATTTCTCTTATGATGTTCCAAATTAGCAGTTCAACCCAATGCTTGACAATGACACATATTCACAAGAAGTTAATGACCCAACAATTGAACAACAAAATTTTTCCCATGTCCCTCCGAACATCAAACCGATATAATATATTTGAATAATATCCATACAGATCTACCTTACATTTATATTCCCGAATTAACTGCTTATTTTTTGATCGATACCGGTAGTTCCAGAAGTCTCATAGACCCCAAATTAGCGTATAAATTTTATTCAGATTATATTTCTGGCGAAAATTTCAATATTCAAACAGCTCATGGTATGACGTTCCATAACCAAGTAGCACATATTCCTGTATTCCAAATTTTCAATACTGACGATTTTCATCAATTCTACATTTTTGGCTTTTCTGATAAATATGATGGCATAATTGGTGTTGACCTATTAGAACAGCTACAAGCCAATATTGATTTAAAAAATAAAATGCTCCTATGGCCCATATCCCCATTATTTTCGAAAATAAATCAAATTGTCCGAATCCACCTAAAAAATTTCAGACTTACCAAATCACCCTAGCCCCTCGTACAGATCAAGTTGTGAAAATTTCCGTGAAGTTGAATAGCGGAACAGGCGTTCTAGAGTATACAAATTTTGGTAACAAATTAGAGATGCCTCAAGCTTTGGTGAATATTTCGGATAATTTTGCTATCACTACGATTATTAATTCAAGTGAGGAAGCTGTAAATTTAGAAATCAATAATCCTTTAGCTATTGAACCTATAGAAATTTTTGATGTGCATGTTCACAGTGTTAATGAAACTGATGGAAATTTTGACAAAAATTATAATAGCATATTAAAGAATAATCTGCAAAGTTTACTTTAATGAAGAAGAAGCGGGTGCTATACACAAGCTTTGTTTAGAATTTAGAGACATTTTTCACTGCGAAAATATCCCATTAAGCTTCACTAACAAAATTAAACACAAAGTTAGGTTGACCGATGATACCCCCACCTTTACAAAAAGTTATCGTTATCCAGAAATTCATAGAAGTGAAGTTAAACATCAAATTTCGAAAATGCTACAGCAAGACATTATTCAAGCTTCAACATCACCTTTTTCATCCCCTATATGGATATTCCAAACATAATTGATATTTTAGACAAACTCGGCCGAAGTCAATATTTTACGACACTTGATCTGGCTAGCGAATTCCATCAGATTGAAATGGAACCAGAAGATATTCCAAAAACAGCTTTTTCAACTGAAAAGGTCATTGGGAATTTAAAAGAATGCCTTTTGGTATGAAAAATTCTCAAAGTACTTTCCAACGCGTCATGGATAACATCCTGCGTGGTCTCCAAAATGAAATATGTCTCGTCTATCTAGACGACATTGCAGTTTTCAGTAGTTCTCTTCAAGAACATATTGTACGTTTAAGACAAATATTTGCAAAGCTCAGAGAATCAAATTTTAAAATCCAAATGGACAAATCGGAAATTTTAAGGAAAGAGGTACAATATTTAGGACATGTCATTACCCCAGAGGGAGTAAAACCAAACCCAGATAAAGTTTCGGCAGTAAAAGATTTTCCTATTCCTAACAATCAAAAAGAGATCAACTTATTCCTAGGTCTCGTAGGTTACTATCGCAGATTTATTAAGGACTTTGCAAAAATTACCCGTCCAATGACACTTTGTCTTAAGAAAGAAGCTAAAGTCGTCCACACACCCGAATTTATAAAATATTTCGAACATTGTAAAGATCTCCTAGTAAATGCACCCATACTCCCATATCCCGATTTTGAAAAATCTTTCATTGTCACTACCGATGCCTCGAATCAAGCTGTAGGTTGTGTTTTATCTCAAGGTATCATTCCTAATGATAAACCAGTCGCTTATGCTAGTCGCACTCTAAACGAAACTGAAACGCGATATACTACTACCGAAAAAGAACTTTTGGCTATTGTATATGCTGGCAAACAATTTAGGCCTTACATATTTGGACGTAAATTTTATATATATACAGATCATCGCCCTCTAGTTTGGTTGATGAATGCTAAAGATGTTAATAGCAGACTTGTACGTTGGCGACTCAAATTAATGGACTATCAATATGAAATCATATATAAAAAAGGAACATGTTATACTAATGCCGATGCATTGTCACGTATTCATGTATATGCAGTAGAATCAGCTAGTGTCATAAATAACCCAGGTGACATTGATCGGGATATTCAAGATTATTTAAATCAGTTATTTGCCAATAAACAATCTCTCCCAGATTTGGAAGAAGATACCTTAGCATTGTTAAATTCAGATCCCGGAAATCCTATTACTGCTTCACAGCCATTAGATTCTTCAAGAATTTGAGATTAAACGACTTACCTAGTAAGGAAGTTCAATCGGAATTATTCGAGGTCCGGTCCACTAGAACACATATTGTAGAATGCGATTCGGTAACGAAGCGGGCCACCTGTGAAAAGTAACATGGATCCCCATCTCCAGACCCTGAGCTATACGAATATCTCATTATGCTTTTTATTTGCTAG